ATTACCTTGGCAAAAATATCTTTTGTTAATTGTCAAATAAAATATCTTCTGTTATTTATTTACAAAATCTTATTTCTTACCATTTACCTGATTCACACTTTTAGTATTAACTATTAAGTATTAACCTTGTAATAAAAATCATAGAAGCTACATACACGCATGCATATAAAGAAACAATGGGGTCGAAAGTGAAATTGAAGTACTGTATGTTCTACAAAGTGCGATCTGTCTATAAATGAAAGTATACTAAATTGTGGACAAATGTCTTAACAAGGAGATCATCATTGTCACTCTAGTTATATTACAACTTACAACCCTATTCACCTTTACACAAATTATTGGACTTTTAGTTGAGATATTAGTATATATGAAGTGTTGTTCACGCAAAATTTATCAATGTATCATGTAGCTATAGTTCTGTCTTACGTCGTCTGCTTAGTAAGACGTCCAAAAGTCTCTTATTACTCGAGCTCTCGGGTCAGTAATTAACTAAACTCGCTTCGGGGTATTTTTATTAGGAGTAATTAGGCCTTTTAAACTCTTTTGGACCTTATAAAACGAATTAGAATCACCAAACAGTGGTAAACATTGTTCCTTGGGTAAATAGATGCACCAAATTATCTCAGTGTCGGGTACAAATGTGTCATTCCCGGGTGGATTCTTACGACAAGTGGCGGCCTGTGATTGGTCCTTTTTTATTTTTTTATTTTTAATTTGGAAAGTAAAAAAATTTAAGCACTTTTCTTTTTTCAGTTTTACGATGAAAGTGCTCTAATAGAACCCAAAGTCGTGATAAGTCCGATATTGATGTTTTATCGACCCGACTATTCTGTTTGTTCGCCTGGGGCGAGTGAAGTTATTGTGAAATAGATTACCAAAAAAAATAAGTTATTGTTGTGAAATACTTGATACATTGAATATATATTTCAATGAAAAAACGAACCATCAAGAATTTTTCAGTCCCTTTGTTTTTGTATGTTAACTGTTAACATGCATGCTTATCATTAATTTGCCTATACACGTGCCTGCGAGTGTCTGTATCGTGTGCGTCATTATATATAATACACAAAGTGTGCGTCTGCCGGGAGAGACAGATCGTACATCTCACATACATTCTCTAGACTTCGCCGTTGCTTCAACTTGACGTCTCGTACCACATGCATTTGCATCATTGCTCCGGACCACACCTCTCTTTCCCTTAAGAGTTAAATTGTGGTCTCGTTCTTTTTATTTAGTTTTTTCAATAAATAGGTAGATTGAAATAAATAAATAACCTTTTTAACCTCCACAAGTCATGATTTACGAGCCTCGCCAAAAGAGCATTATTTGTATTGTTGCCCTAATATTTGTCGAAAGCCCATTTATTTCCTGGCCACTGTGTCTTGTATATAACTAAGCCTGCTAGTCCAATAAGAAGACTAAGCTCATTTTCAAGCACATAAAAGGAATGACAGTGGCCTTAAATTGTGAGGGAGTGAAAAGCCGTCTAGTGAATAAGACCATTTCCAATGGGGGTTCTATTCCATTGAAGTTCTAAAATGTGTGTATGTATTTATTTTTAGAACTTCTGAATAAGGTTCTACACTATTTAGTGAACCCTACAATTGCATACATATATATAATACATACATATACACATATATGATTTTAGAACTTCAATGGGATAGAACCCCCATTGAAGATGGTCTAAGAAAGAGTCATCCGTCTTATTATATTTGCCAACGTGAGCTACCAAACTCCAAAGATTTGAATAAGAATCATATCACTAGCTTTTAATATTACTGTGCCCTATGGGAAATATTTAGTTGAGATGAATAAATTTATGTTTTTATCAATGTAGTAAGTTCTGGACTGAAGCTCATAAGGACAACAATAAGAGTCGGTTGTTACAATTTATCTCTACAACTGCTTAAACTCGAACCTGATATTTCTATTCTTATTACAGAAAACTTTATGAGTAAAGCTATTAATAAAAATATGTTGTAATAACGTTTATGATGAATTTTAAGTTGAAGTTGTATTAAACAAAAGATATGATTGCGTCAAAATGAATAGGTCAGTGGACGTATAGTGGCATCAGAGGTTCGACTGCCTCCCCCCCCCCTCACTCTTCTTGAGGGTTTACATGTGAATTAATCATGTACACTCAAATCTCAAATTATAGAGAAATTAAAATTTTAAGCACAGCTATCAAAAATGAAAATGCGATACAATAAGGTCGGTGAAGGTAACAATTAATTCAAAATAGAACCACCCGGTTTTTTTATCAAGACGGACGACAGCAAATTGGTAAAATTAATTATAACATTTTATGCTTTCATTAGTGTTTGCAATTTTAAAGTGAGAAACATAATAAAAAAATAAACATACTTTTAATTTTAAATTTCGAACAATATGTTATTTGCAATGTATTTTAGATATTTCTTCTTCCATCAACCGAATAATATCTCTTAATTTTAGAATTCCATTTAGTTAATATCTCTTAATTTTAGAATTCCATTTAGTTTTCTTTCTCTAAAACTCCATACTGTACATATTTTAGAAGGCAGCAGTTGGTTTTACCATTTTTCATGCATCAAGATCGTTTCGTGGCATTTGGCAGTATATATTTATTATATATTGTTCGCATTTGGTTTTCAAGATTTGTGATACTGCACACTTCTTCAATATAGGAAAAGACTTTGATTTTGACCAAAAAAAAAAAAGGAAAAGACTTTGATGTTTGCGTTTTTACTAGTGCAATCATATTTCGAGCACTCAGCATTAGTGCAAGAGAAGATATAAACAGTTTTAAAAGCTGGTTTGGAATTGCAGATTACCCACCAGTTCTTGTTCCACAATCCACTCAAGAGCCTCTTTCGTGCATTGTAAGACCTTTAATCATCTTTTACACAATATCTTCATCTTTTCCTTTCTTCACTATCAGAGATTCACAATACAAGTTTTGTAAGAATATTTGAATAATTTTCTTAAACAGATTATGCCTTATTTTTTAACATGCATTGTATAATCTTTAAATAAGTTTTGAATTTAAGTTAATAATTAAAAGTGTATCACCAAAAAATCGAAGTATAGAGCTGAAAAATATATGCACAGCATATGAAGAGTGTAACTCCCCAAACCCCATTTGATATATTATCATCTTCATATGTAACTATTATAGTATATTCAAATATCAGATATATTCCATAGTTTTTTTTATCATGGAGATTCTAAAATTTTTCTAGATTCAAATATTAATCTTATAATTTTCATAAAAATTTAAATTTTCTTACCATTTAAAATGTCCATAGATGATCAACTTAAACCCATGGCGAAAACTCCAACCGGAGTCCTTTTACCACTATATCAAAGTGACTTTGTTATGATATATTCCATAATTTGTTATCATACTTTCCTCTTCTCTCATTTCTTATGTTTTAATTCAAACTTTTGTACTATATAATTGGTTTGAGACTCGATTAGATGCAATTATTCTCTATGCTTTAGCAGTAACCGAACCTCCAAACAAAACAAAATTCATATGGGAATTTTAAGTTAAATGCTATTATATCCCCTAATAAACAAAAATTGGCATAACATATAATCTTCCAAAATCGAAGCTCCTAAGAAAAAAAACTGTATAATTATTTTAAATTAGTTGCCCTGAAACATCAATAAAGCATAAACGATTCATAGTATATATATTTCTCTAATGTTTTTCCTTATAAAAATTGATTTAATATATGCAAGTTTTAATATGATATATTGTGCAACAAGAAAAAATAACACCTTGCATCTATAAAAGTCAACCTTTTATGACAGAAACAAATATTAAAGAAAGTCATATGTGGAACGTGGTTTCATTAAAAGTCCACGACGCAATATCTTTTTTTCATAATGGATCTATCGTTCATTCATTACTCTGTTCACACGTCGACTATAATTAGACCTATTAATACAATGCGAGTGATTGCAATTGTCTCCTGCAAATATAATACCATCGATTACACAACATGAAATCAAATATTTCATTATTCGGAAGATTTTATTATACTATTTTCACCATTCCAAATATTTATTTTCATAATTACTAAGTTGCAATTATGCCTCTTTTTCAATTTCTTGAATTCTAAGATACCTCGACGCAGTAGTTTTATCTTCTTTACACGGTTTAATACCTTACAATTATGGTTTTGCTTTTGTATATCAATGATTAACCAATGTAGATTTTGTTATGTAGGTATTATTATCGTAATATTCATCCTCCTGATAATTGTGCTTAATTTTTTGTTTAAAAAAATCGTTGACTTAATATTTTTTGTTGGTTTATTTTTTCAAACACTGTTTATTTTTCCCGACAGTATGTATAATTCAATCATTCTATCGTGTTTGATCCAGCTGATGCATAACAACGAAAAAAATTCTGAATTGGTCATGTTTGGATTCAGAATGCATAATTCATTCTATCATGTTTAAACTTAAGATATGCGTCCATCTAGAGTTATTTTAAATTATAAAACATATATAAATACAAACAAAAATCGCCGTTAAAACAACTGAAACTACTATTAAAATTTCCAAGTTTGTGTCAGTGTAGCTACTTCTTGATTGCTAATTTTCTTCTTGACAACATTCTACTAATATACTATCTGTACAAATATATAAAACTTTTATATGATTAGTATATTATATGGTATACATATCACGTGAAAGACAGAAAAGGAAATCAGTTATTAGTATTATCAAACTTTCTTCTAATTAACAACAGAAAGAAAAACAAGGATTACTACCAAAGCTAACTTTAATTAACACGAAACTGGGTACTACTTTTATGAAAATTGAGTATACACGATAAAAAGTATCCTGCGTTGAAAAGACAAAATCCCACTCCCTCACATCTCTTAAACTTTACATTTTGTCAACTATATAATATATATAAATATATTAATTAGCTTTTACTATATTGTCTTCCAAACTGTCCAGCAAAACTTTGTTCTGTTTCTTTCCAAATACATCCACAAACTTAGAAACGACATCTTTTGTCCTTTTCAGGTTATAAAAAAAATGTTTGGCCTCTTGTTATTATGCTAATATTTCCTTCATCATCTTATATTTCCTCTCATCTTCCATGGCTTCGAAATTCTCTAAAATTCTCACTATAGTTATCTGGCTCTCATTCTTCTTTCTCCTCATCCACCATTTGTATTCCTTCAACCTCCACCATCTTTACTCTCTAAATGCGGATGAGCCGTCGATGAAGAAGCACCACGATCACCATCTCTACACCATTGGATTAGTCAGCAGAAAAGCTCTCTCCCATAGATTTGACTTCACTACTTTCCAACCCCGAGAGCACAACCACCGTCATCGTCCTTCCGGCGAGAAAGACGACGGCGATGAGATCGATCCTCGTTACGGAGTGGAGAAACGCCGAGTTCCCTCGGGACCCAATCCGTTACACCATTGATGAATGACGATTACACTTACACGTGCTATATTTGAATGGTAACATTCAAACCAGAGCCTGATCATACTTTACCTAGCATTTTGTCTGAAAGGGAGATATTAAAGATTAGAGTTTCTTTTCTTTAATCGTTTTTATAGTTTTGATCTTGATACAATTTTTTTTATCATATAGTACACAAGGATATTTTAGCTTTATTTTGACGATTATATGTGTAAATATGTTGGTTTACGCAAGAAATAATTAACATCTCTTGATTATTGTGGTTGACAAGAAAAAAAAAAGATTATTGTTTTGGTTTGTTATTTATTGTTAAGTTATGCAACTGTTATGTATAAAAATCTGAAGAAAAATTAGTCGTTGATTACAATGATGGATCCTTAAATAATTGCTTTGACTTTGGGATTAGACAACAAGTAGCTGCGACGGCACGTCACAACTGAGAGTTATTCTACATGCCTTATTATACCAAAGACAAAATAATGTATAGTATAAGATACAAACATAAATATAACATATGAATATATGATAAGAAAGTACTAATATCTATTTCACACGTCTGAAATTTGAACTATGCAAGTTCTTTATAACATCCTTTTTGCGGTTATGTAATTGTGCTAAAAAAATGAAGAGTAAAAAAAAAAATTTGAGTATAATTTATCAATATATACAAGCAGTGTAGGCTGTAGCCCTTCCTCAAAAAGGAACAAAAAAAATATATATATACATGCAGTCCGGTGTTGTTAAGCTAACTTGTAAGTGTGAACATGACTTTGGCCAGGTATAGTGTCTTGCTGTCTTTTCGATAAAAATAAGGAAATTTCATTTTACACTAGCTTCACCGTCTCTCAATCTCAGGATGTGCCGACTTTTCTCTGTTTGGTTTCTTTCTACACCAACTAATTTGTTTATTTTAAAATATTTATATTACAAATGACAAAATATTAATTTTAAAGAGGGACAAAGATGTACAAATGGTAAGCGACTGAATTGATAATTTAGAGAAAACAGTATCGTCTACTAGCATATTAAAAAAAATGGTAAACCATTTCCAGAGAGAGAATGTGAAAGTATCGATAGCCACGAGTTATAGAAATCTGGTGTGATGCGGATTCGAACTCGGTTCCTTTTAAAGATCCACGAAACATCATAACCACCGAATCACAGACGCATGGTTTCTTCTAGCATATTAAAAAGAACGCTTTAAATACTATATGATATTTTCCCATAATATTTGTTTTCCTTCACATGAGTCTAGTGTTGTGTGCCATCATATTCTAATGGGACCTATTTTCAAAGATTAGGTTTGTGGCGTAGTTACATTGTTTTTCTTAAAAAATGATTCTGTAAAGGCAAAGTAAAAAAGGCGTCGGTAACACATACAACCCATACTTTCTAAATACATCAACTCATTCAGTTTAAACTAAATGATATACATAGTATTTCCTCCGTTCCATAATATTTGATGATTTAAAAAACTTATCTTTTTATCTAAAAATATAATTAAAATAGTTATTAAAAATTATTTAACCATGACAAAAATAGATTACATTAAATAATTGGTCATACAGTTTTTGATAAAATTAAAACTATATTAAAATGTAAACATCATCTATTTTGAATCATACTCCCTCTATTTTTAATAAATGTCACTATACCATTTTAATTTTTATTTCAAAATAAGTATCATTTTACATTTTTAATATAATTTTTATAAATAATATTTTTTATCTCTTTAACTAACCAATAAATGTTTTATTTATTTATTTGATTAATATGCGTAAAATATGCTTAAGTGAAACTTGTTTTGAACCGAAAGAATAAAAAGCTTCTTTAAATATCATATAATTTGAAACCAAAGGGGTATAATTTACTCCTTATATAGAGTGTTATTTTAGTTTTTTTTTATTTTGTTTTAAAATAAGTGTCATTCTATATTTTCAATGTACATTTTTATATTAAATTCTTTCTTACCTTTTTAAATAACAAATAAATATTCAGTTAAATTATTTATATTTAAATAATTATATAACAAATAAGAATAAATTATTATATTTTAATATGCGTGAAATGTGTCTAAAGAAAATTTATTTTGAAACATATAAATTATATTAAAAGCAGAAGATTCTAAAATCACCAAGTAAATAATAAATTAAAAAGACCTTAGTTAATTAACTGGATCATCAAGCTTCAAAATGAATTGTAGTTAGTGCGAGACTTTTGACACTTTGTATATTACAGTTGTTTCTTAAAGTCATCGAGACTTGTTCATTTAGGGAGTAAATAAACATGCGCCACAAAAGATATTGTCAAAGTCCTTGTAACACTGGTGGTAGCGTTTTCAAAGATCCTCCAACAATGCAAGTAAAACTATCTATGTTTAACTTGGTGAGAATAGTATGCAGTAAAATGAAGAAAAACAAAATAACCGCAATAAATAATTAATATTAGGAATTATTTGTGAAATAATTAAAGAAAAAAATAGTTTTGTAGAAAGAGGGTAGAGAGTAGAAAGAAAAAGAAGAGAGAATATATTTTAGTTAATAAATTATGATTCAGTGTTATTTTCATATTTCATAATTTTTTTTATAATTTTCTAAATAGAATGAGAGAAGTGATAGAGACTTATAATAATGTTTGGGTTCTGGCAAATAGCGATGAAACCACTCTTTTTTGAAAATAGACTTCTTTTATTTCTTTTTTATATTTGACGTTTTAGAAAAAAAAATTATATTATAAATTATTTGACGTTTTCAGTTTTCTATGTAAAATTTATAAATAATTAATTTTAGATGACCAATGATATTAAAGTTACTATTTTATAATTGGTTGAATTGTAGTTAGATAAATATTTAATGAGGTTTTTATTTTGAAAATGAATTTTCTTTTTTATTAATATATGTATATAATCCTAAACCGCCAAATATAAAAAAAAACAGTGGGAGTATTATTTATAAACTGTGTAAGTTTTTTAAGAATGAACTTCAATTGTCCTTTATTTATTTTTTCCTAATTGTTAGTGTGAGTTTAATAAATAGGAGCTATCTGTAATTTTTCTCCCCGTTACCTTTTTTTGGTTGAACGAGATGAAATATCCTACGGTCTTTTTTGTTGTTGTTAAACATCTATAGAGTCAGAACATCTTGGGTCGGGGGGAGGATAAAATAAAAAGCCTCAAAAACAAACCTGTGCTAGTAAATGGGAAAGAAAAGCTAAAAGTGGCCCAATAAGATGTTGCCGTTTGCTAATTGCAAGTGTGAGCACCGAAGAGAGTCGTTTGGTTCGGGAAGAGAACACTTCCTCGCGTGTTCCGAGGCAAAACGAGTAACACTTCCTCTATGGAAAGTGGAAATGCTGAAACATTAGTTGAGGCATTAACACATGAGCAGATTGTTAAGGTATGATTCCCTGAACACATCAAATCAGATCATCCCCATTTTTTCAACATGTGTAGATGTTTTTCCTCTGTCTGAGGTGGAACATGTGGGCATGTTAATCACACAATTTATTTAATTATGAGAAATGGTTTTTATATACTTTCAGCATGATCAAGTAGAAGAAGGAAGAAGAAACAGAAACAGACCACCCGTGTGAGGCTTCCATAGGAAAGAAGATTTGGGTCTTTTTTTCACAACCTAATCATTTCCCCCCCTCTCTTTTTCTCTGAAAGACAAAACTATCCCATAAGAAGGAGTTTCTTGAGGGGTGAAAACATCCTTTTATGTGTTGTTTATTTTTAAGCTTTACTTTATTTTTCAAGCAACTGAAACAGAAAGCAAGTGTAATCATTGGAGCCAAAGGGCTTTGAAGGAAATGCAGCATTTGATTCAAATATGCTTTCTGCATAGGTAATAGTGCTGGTGCTCAAGGAAACCACACAAGATTTAGAGATAAGAAACAAAGTTACATAAGTCATTGTCATGGACCTGACATCTTTTCTTGGTTATGTTTGCCTGAAAATCACCAAACAAAGTAAAGGCAAGTCCAAAACACAAAATGGTAAAAAGAAGAAAAGGACTATACAGCTTATATGTAGGATCTCACCAAGATTTCGGTTTTTGTAATGAATAGGTTTAGAGTGAGTAGATAGTGGATACGCCTCACCTTTCAATGTTAGGACAAAACGAGTGTGGTGGTCCAAAGGAAAGAAGGCCATGCAAGAGCATCAATCACTCACCCTTCATCACTCTAGAAATAAATATCTTCATTACACTTGTTAATAAACATATTTTATTTTTAAATATCAAATATTTTCTAATACATTTTATATTTTAAAACAGACAAATTAACTCTTTTTGAAGAAAAATACACTTCATGAAATTTTTCATAAACCTATAAGGAAAATTATAATAATAAATAACAATAAAACTGGAGGCTGCAGAATTAACAGTCCTCTTGTAAAGAACTTGGATCTTCTCTGACTTTGGCTTTCACTCTCAACCTTCTCTCTTCTTATCATTCACTACCATTATTGTTTCTGAATTTTCCCTGCTTTGTTAACTGTGCCTTGCTTTTAAAGGTTTTGTTTCATAAATCTTTATGGCTAATGCTCAGTCGTTGTCTAAACCTCTGGCTATATTATACCCTATAACTTTACAACTTACTCTGATATGCTCATTCTCTATGATATTAGGTTATGAATGGAAGGGCAGAACAAGTGTAAATCTTCCGTCCATGCAGTTTTCCTGTACTGTTTTTGACATTCATCTTTTTGTTTCTAAAAGCAGTTCAAGCGGGAGATTTACATGCAATTCAATATTTTATGTGAACAGAAAATCTGCATACAAATCTCACCCGCTAACATTTGAAGGTGTTGATCTACCTTTTTCACTAATAAATGATTTTGCTATAAACACTAACTTTAAATATATTTATCTGATTTTATAAATAATATACAAAAATTAACTCAAATTATATAGTTCAGACTAATATTATTTGTATCATTTTAATATTATAAACATGATGTTCAATCGCCTACAAAACAAAACATTTTCTAAATAAAAAGATATAAATTTTACTACATAAAACGAGTATTTTATTAAGCTGCACAATCAAATAATTTTATGATCAATTACTGTTTCAAAGATTCTACATCCATTTTGTAAATAATTTTCGATGGTTAATTCAATCAAGAGTTTAATGTAATTTACCAATTCTCCAAAGAAAATCTTGATCATCTAAAAAAAATAAAAGAAGTACAAAGATCTTATGAAATTTTTTACAAACATTTCGGCTGGTCCTAAGACATCTAAGATATTTATTTTTTATGTTTCAGTGTAGTTTTTATTGTTTAATATATAATTATAATTTTGAACTGATTTTGTCATTCATGATTTATAATAAATTATTTGGTCTGTTTGATTTGCATCTCTCCTGCATAATTCGTTTATCCTGCACTTATCCTGCTTGATCTGCACTTGTCCTACTTGATCTGCATGATCTGCACCGCTCGAACTGTTTTTAACCATTCGAAACCTTAAGCAAACCATAAACTTGTTATGAACATTTTGAAAAATTGCACATGCTTAGTCGGTTATTTGGATTTAACCCCATAAATTCAGTTTTGTCATGTTGTAAGACTGCTAAGGTGCTTACATATGTCTATATAACACATACAGCTTTGTTTTTATGTAATCATAAGTTTGAGAAACAGATTTGGCTTTTTCCCTATTGTCTTTCTTCGGTCATTACTTCTTGGCATTCCCTCTATAACAAACCCTAAAGAGAAAACAAAGATGGAAAGCAGAGGAACCTGTGAAGCTTTATCCTTTTTTCTCATGACATTTCTTGTCTCAAACTAATCTCTCTTGGAGAAAAATACTGTTAAGGGTTGTTTTCTTAGGAAAAATCTTGTGTACATATCAACCAACATTCATGGTTCTCAAAATGGTCCCATAAACACATTGTGGTGATAGATTTGTTTTCATCTTCCAACATTTGCTTCAAACACCCCAATTCAGAGATAAGATCCACACAACACTTTTTTACCATCCCTTTCTCTTGTATCTTCTCATTATAGCCTCAATGAAGAAGCTTAGATTCGCAAAGAAGCAACATTTGTATTTTTTACTATGTGTGTGGTGTTTGATGGTGGATTGGAGCAGAGCAGGAACAGAGGAAAGTGAAGGAGGTCCAATGGAGAAAACAGAAAAAGCTGCTCTGTACTCTACAATTCAAGGGTTTGTTGGTGACTCTTGGAATGGCTCCTACCTCTTTCCTGACCCTTGTGGTTGGACTCCGATCCAGGTCCTTTCTCTCACCATTCTTCTTTCAAGAACAACAAAAAAAATTACCAATTATGGAAAGAAAAAATCTATCTTAGCAAGAGGCAACTAATGATAAAAGATGTTGAATTTGTTAAAATGCTTGAAAAGCTATATTAAGTAAACTTTCTGTCTTTGTAATCTAAAGCCAGAAGATAGAAAATAATAAAAATTACTTACTTTAATTAGCAATTAGTAATCAAAAATCCTTTGTTCCATTTTGGTGTGTATTCACTTCACCAGTGGAATAATTATTAGTTATTAGCTTCAGTCTCAGAGAATAATGTCACTTTTTTTGTAACACCACAATTCAATATATATATATATATGTTCTTCAAAAAAAAAAAAGAATATATATATGTATGTATTTTTTTTCCTCCGGAAACATCCAATCCTTTGATATTAACTATGCAGGGTGTGACTTGTGATATATATGAGGATCTTTGGTATGTGACTGCTTTAAGCTTTGGGTCTATGCGAGACAACTCTCTTGCTTGTACTGAGATTCCAGTGATCAGACCACAACTCTTTGAGCTCAAGCACCTCAAGTCTCTCTCCCTATTCAACTGCTTCACATCACCAAAGCAATATCTAGCTTCGGTCTCAAACAATAAGTGGCTGGATCTCTCTAAAAACTTGGAGACACTTGAGATCAGATCAAACCCGGGACTGATAGGTGAACTCCCTTCTTTCATCACTAACCTCACCAATCTTCAATCTCTAGTGGTGCTAGAAAACCGGTTAACAGGTTCATTGCCAAAGAATTTAGCCAAGTTAACCAGACTGAGACGCTTGGTACTGTCTGAAAACCGGTTTACAGGGAGAATACCGGAGGTGTATGGCTTAACCGGATTATTGATATTGGATCTAAGCAGGAATTTCTTCTCTGGACCGTTGCCTTTAAGCGTTGGAGGATTGAGTTCACTGCTGAAACTCGATGTTAGTAACAATTACTTGGAAGGAAAGTTACCTTTAGAGCTACAGTCCTTAAAGAATCTGACTCTTTTGGATCTTAGGAACAACAGATTCTCAGGTGGATTGACCAAAGAGATCCAAGAGATGAGTTCATTGGTTGAACTGGTTTTGTCCAATAACCATCTGGAAGGGGACTTAACAGGAATAGAGTGGAGAAATCTGAAGAATTTGGTGGTTTTGGATCTCACCAACACAGGGCTAAAAGGAGAGATTCCTTGGTCTATCTTGGAGCTCAAGAAACTGAGGTTTTTAGGTCTAAGTAACAACAGTCTCGGAGGCAAACTCTTTCCTCAAATGGAAACCGATATGCCCAGTCTCAACGCGCTCTATGTAAATGGAAATAACATCAGTGGAGAGCTGGAGTTCTCTAAGAAGTTCTATGAGAGGATGGGAAGAAGACTTGGTGTTTGGGGAAACCCTAATCTGTGTTACCACGGAGATGAAATCAAGAACCTTCTTGATCATGCTCCTTTTGGAGTGTACCAATGCAAGAGACTTAAGGCGATGACTTTGGCTTAGGACAGAACCTGGAACTTGGAAAGTTATGAAACTGTGGTCTTTTCAACTATGCATTTTATTCAGTTTTAAAGCCAATATGTCTAAAAAAAAAAAAAAAAATGGTAAACCATTTCCCCGGAGAGAGAATGTGAAAGCCCCGGTGGCCACGTGTTGTGGAAATCTGGTGTGGTGCGGATTCGAACTCGGGTCCCTTTAGGGATCCACGGAACGCCTTGACCACCCGACCACAGACACGTGGTTGCCAATATGTCTATGTTTGAATCCTTTTTTGTTCTATTTTTCTTACTAGTTGTAGTATCAAACATAACATGTGTACGTATAAATAAAAGAAAGTAACTCGCAATTTAAAAAAAAAAAAAAAATTCGTTTACTGTTTTTCTGCAGCGCCACCAAACAAGAAGATATCAAATGTAGTAACTTACCAAAAAAAGAAAACTACAAGTTGATCAAATTTAATGGTTTTTATTTTGGAAAGAATGCTAAATTATTTAACCAAAAAATTGTTTTTACATTTACTGTTACATTGTTTCTAATTTTTTGACAATACAACTATGTTTCCTCTATTTCTTTTCAAGCCATCTCTACAAGCCTTTTTAGTAGTCATGTCCATGCATTCCTGAAAATTTAATGGTTCTTACAAATAATACAACTGATACTACATTTAGTTTTGAGCATTTCGTTAAGTTGAGGAAGATGTTAGTTCATCAAAGTAGGAGTGTATGACTTTTTGCGACATGTCTAAACGTGGGAGGTATGTTTGAACTTTCTTTTGTTTTGGCCTTTTATAAAATAAAGAGAAAAGTCTATTCAAAAGAAGAAGAAGTCCGGTGAAATCAGGTGCATATCCAAATCAATCATGGAGTAAACGAATAAAAACCGCCAAGCTGTCTAATCAAATAGTATATATAGTATAACTAAGCTAGTCAACTCTTCAAACTTACTTTCTTAAAATACCTTCTCACGCAAAAGATATAGGTTGGTATACATTGTTCTTACGTGTTTTGTGCATGAATTTTCAGTATCTTTCTTACTTGTGTTGAAAATGATATGTAATCAATTCTACACATTCGTTTAATTAAACATGAGTTTCTTTTTTCTTATCATGGTTATCCTTTTATATACACTAAATGTTCTAGACTTCTAGTCATTTTACGATATGGTATATTATATATCACTTTTAGTGTCTAGTTAAAATTGTCATTATACTACCGTTTTGGTAGTTGTTATTTAAGATTTCAGCAACAAAATATATTTTTGTTATGGATTTGGTTTTATTTGCCAACCGTGTATATCGTATTTTAAGAAAGCACAAGACAAGTTTTGATATATAATACTTACGAATGTGAAAAGCTAATCGTGCTTTACTATTCCAGTATTCCTACATCTTATTATAATTACTGTTGATAGTTGAACATAACAACTTCTTGTGCACATGTTTTGTTTAAACATTACAACTACAAAACAAAACTAGTATTTCCATAAAACTGTTTAATATTCTCTAGTCAACGAACTTGTCATAACAAAACGAAAAATCTTGAAAAAACGACGGTCACCTTAAACCAGATTCCCATTTCCAAAAGTATAAAATGGAATTAGACCAAAAAAAAAGAGAGTATAAAATGGAATTATTTACATTCTAAAGTACAGAAAATCAACAAAAGTCGACGACGGCTACCAAAAAAAATGAATATTTGAATATTTTGATATTAAAATAATAAGGGAAATTCAAAGTCTCTCATTAGCGTAGGATTCACTCCTCTCTTACCGTTCCACTCTTTCCCCCTCATTTCCTCCACACTTATTTCTCATCAAAATCCACACGCACTTGTTATATAAACACAGAGTCATGGACGTATACATTATTCAGTTCATTTATTACTTAAAGAAAAACAAGTGAAGCAAAAACAAAAAAGAGAAAACATATACCAAAATGGCTCCATGTCGAAGGATGGTTCTGCTCTGTCTTGTTCTGTTCCTAGCGGCGAGTAGCTCTTCTGTGGCCGCCACAAGAATTGGAGCCACCGTGGAGATGAAGGATATGAAGAGCTTAGGGTTTAAAGACACCGTTATTTCTGGTTACTTGCCCAAGGGTATTCCCATTCCTCCTTCTGCCCCTTCGAAGAGACACAACTCTCTTGTTGACTCTCTTCCTCATTGATTTTTCATTTTTGTTTGTTTGTTTGTTTATTCAATGTATTTTTGGGGTTTTGTTTTGTTGTTTAGAACAACATAGATACATATAGGTTTTGTTTATACTATTTGTTTATGCTTGCATACGTCTATATATATTATTGATTCGTTCATATGATTATGAACTAATATATGTTAAGTTCATGATGGCCATACAAAGATCAAGAAAATTCAGTTAACTCATCTTGTTAGCCTTGTGTTTGTAGTTTACTGCCTCACACATCATCTGCTTGATCAAACACATGTTCGAGGCAATTTTGGCATGTTTTTGAATTATTTCGTATGATCTTGAGGTTAACAACTTTGTCACAATAAGACACCGGACAACTCATGTCGTAAGTTCATGAAGTTAATGTGAGATAATAAACAAAGTCCCACATTGGAGAAAGAGACGTCCAACTCTAATAGTACGAGGCCTTTTGGAAAGGAAACCAAAAGTAAATCCATGCGGGCTAGCTTCATAGGCCCAAAGTGGACAATATCGTACTAATATGAGAATATAGAGTTGGACATGGGCTTTCACAATTACAACAATTGGTATCAGAGCGGTTTGACGAAGATATGCAAGAAGACCAAAATACCCTTAAGATATGAATGGGGATCCTTCAAGTAGGAAGAGGAGGTCGTGGCATAAACTGTCAGAAGATCATGGAACCTGTGGTGTTGTGGGAGAAACATTCTCAAAGAAAGCCCTGCGATTACTGGTACAAAGTGGAGCCAGATGATTCGCTGAAGGACAAAGTACACGAGATGAATGTGGTCCTTAGTTTAAGGGGGAGAATGTGAGATAATAAACAAAGTCCCACATTGGAGAATTAGACAACGAGTGTCTAATATATAAAGAGACGTCCAACTCTAATAGTACGAGGCCTTTTGGAAAGGAAACCAAAAGTAAATCCATGCGGGCTAGCTTCATAGGCCCAAAGTGGACAATATCGTACTAATATGAGAATATAGAGTTGGACATGGGCTTTCACAATTACAACAGTTAACACGTGCTAGAAGTTGTTAAGATATACTTAATAAATAGACATAAAACGTCTTTAAGAGTTTGAGGATGTTGTTAAAGAAAAAAAGAGTTTGAAGGTATAGTGGAATCAAGCATTAGAGAACATACAACCCACAATACATAGAAGAAACATGTCATTTAGCATTTTTTTTTTTCCTGTGGATGATTAGAAATAAACCCTACTAAGGAAAACAAAGACCAATAAAACAATATTTAAAAATGAAAAGAACGGGGCATTCCGAGAATTGAACACGGGACCTCTCGCACCCTAAGCGAGAATCATACCACTAGACCAAATGCCCTTTTTGCAAACACTCGATACCAACCATTTTGAAAACGAATGACTCCACCTTCCACCATTTTATCAAACGACTAGAACAAAGGCATCGGGGGATTCATCTTCTCTTTAGTCCCGTTTCCTCCATCACTTCTCTAGCTGCGCATCATTCAAGCTCTCACGGTCTCACCTGCTCAAAAAATCAAAGATCAGCTGAAATTTCTCAGAAACACGACTAGGATTTGGGAGAGAGTGACAGAACAACACCGGCGACTTCAACGGCGACTTTCGCATCACACTTTTAGTCTCCATTTTTATCGCTTCGTAAGATGGTGTTGTCTCAGTGTGGATAAACCAAACCCTCTCATGGGCGATCTGCTTTCTATATTCGTTGTTAATTATTGGTCCAAACTGTGCCGTGTTGCTCGCGCTTCCTGCTTTCTTCCATTATTTTGTTGTTACGATTGGTTACAACTTACAATAGTCTAATATATATGTCCCATCTAGGCCTGGGCATTTTACCCGGACCCGAAGACCCGACCCGTAACCGGCCCGAAAATATGTGGTTCGGGTAAGAACCGAACCGATCATTTTACCCTATTGGGTCTTGATGTGGAGGACCCGCGGGTCTTGGACCCGAACCGACCCGAATCTGAGACCCGATGGGGTACCCGAAATATCCAAAACATCTAGTATATATTATGTATATATATATGTTTTAGTATTTTTATGGTATTATGAGTATTATTTTATATCTTGGATTTGGGTTTTCGGATATAATTACGGGTTTTAAGTAAAATTTTAGGTTTTTTAAAATATAATTCAAATAATCAGATAAAGTTTTCGATATTTTTATGTATTCGGGGGAGGTTTTGTGTAAAATTTTGGGTATTTCTTGGATATTTAAATATTTCCAGTATTTTTTGTGTGTTTTAGGTATTTTTTTGGGCCATACCCGGTAGGACCCAAACCGAACCCGACCCGAAACCGAACCGAATCCGAACCAATAAATTTTAATTACCCCATTGGGTCTAACTATATAAGACCCGAACCGACCTGGACCCGGTAGGACCCGAACCGAACCCGAACCGACAAAGTCTAATTACCCTATTGGGTCTAAATATCTAAGACCCGAAGGACCCGGACCCGACATAACCCGACCCGAACCCGATCCGNCCGAACCAATAAATTTTAATTACCCCATTGGGTCTAACTATATAAGACCCGAACCGACCTGGACCCGGTAGGACCCGAACCGAACCCGAACCGACAAAGTCTAATTACCCTATTGGGTCTAAATATCTAAGACCCGAAGGACCCGGACCCGACATAACCCGACCCGAACCCGATCCGAACCGGAAAATGCCCAGGCCTATCCCTTCCATATCGTTTTAAAAATATAAATTGTTTGCACACTCTTTTCCGTTTTATTAGATATAATGTGACTAATCAAAATGTATATACTCTCAATCAGAGCTAACTAGTTTTTGACCCGCGTGGATTTTGTTTTCCATAATCATATATTTTTAATTTTTGAAAATGTGATAATATAATTGTTTAACTTTTTTGTATTATAGATTCATATGTTACTTAGCATTAATATTGATGTATCTTCTTCATTGTGATTAATCTTTACTTATAAACTATGAGATTGTTTTTTTTCTTTTATTGTACTTTTATTTAGCTTATTTGGTAAAGCAAACACTAAAATGTGAGAAATTTTCTATATAAAAGTCAAAAATTTGTATTTAAGAATTTTTTTTAAAATATATTATTTAGAGAAACAAAAATAATAATGAAACCAAGTGCAAAAAAAAATCATTAAAATGAACAGAGATTTAATTGAAATTAATAGTTTAGATTATTTGGTTATAAATTTATAATTAAAATGGATCAAAACTTCATTACTATGTTCAAATTTTATTTTTATCACAATATGTATTGATTATGCTTTAGTTTTATTTTAATTGACCAGACCCATATATGATTTAAGACCACTAGCATGAAGATGTAATTTTTGAGGAAAATTAAGGGTTATTTTCTATTTACTCTAGTTTTAATAGTTTAAAATATATATTAAATAATTTTTTTTAAAAAAGTAAGAACTTTTTTTTAAACTATAGTTACCTATATCCTAAAGGGGAAAATTCCATAAAAATACCCAACTAAATTTCGTTAAACTTATTAATACCCAAACTTTTACGCTATCTAGCTTAATATCCCAATTAATTATTTTATCATTTTTAATATAAAAAATTTTATAACTGTATCCATTTTAACCCCCAACTATAATTAACAATAATAACAAGTTTCAAACAATTTTTTTTTTTAAATCCCCAAAATCTAAGAAAAATAAATTTAAATTTCTAATTTTACTTGAAGATTTAAGAAATAATGTAAATAAACTCTGGAGAAAATTTAAAAGTTTTCAAAATTTTAATTTCGAAGGAAAACAAATTAATTTATTTTTATTTAAAAAAACTAAATTCAATATTTACAACTTAAAATATTTATTACAAAATTTAATATTGTAAAAAATTTATTTACTTTTATTTTCTAAACACCAAATAAAATTAGAATTTTTGGTAAAGTTTAGAGATTTTTAAAGTTTCATTTGAATTTTATTAGTATTTTGTTATTAAATAAATAAAATTTAGGTATTAAAATAGACAAAAATATAAAGTTTGTGTATTAAAATGGATAAAATAATTAATTTAAGTATTAAATTAGATATACATAAGTTAATATAATATTAAAAATTTAATAAAATTTAGTTGAAATATGTTTACAGAATTTGTTTTTATTATAAAATAGAGAAAAAATCTGTTCAACAAGAAATCTGGTAAGGCAGATTACCAAAAATATCAGATAAGGCAATGGGCCTCATATTTTGTTATTGGGCTAAAATTGATAGCAACCTTTTAAACTTATTGGGCTATATAATAATAAAGAAATTGAATCTTTTGGAAATCAAACTCAAACCTAATGTAAAAACTTTTAAATCTTGATCATTGGTCAAGATGTTTCCACCATTTCTCACTAATTTATGTAGTCATTATTATAATCATTAGGAATTGAGAGGATAATAGTGATTTATTCATAATTAAAGTGTACTACGAATTAGAAGTGCACGTTAATACGTTCAGAACCTTGTGTTCGAGTGTGGTAAGGAGAAGGCTTAGATCGCAACATGTTTCAGTTCTTGTTTCCGACCATTTGAATATCCGGAGAGATAATTTATCTATGGTCTACATCTTTATTTAAAGATTAGTCAATGGATCAAAAAGATAAAAAATAATATTTGTTTGAATATTTGTTATCTTTTAGCCTCAGTGAACTTGAGCTACGATTGTTGAAATAATGGGTAAACAATTACAGTACAGAATGAAAGAACTGCAATAGTGTAAAAAAAAAACAGAATACTGGACGAATACTTTTGCAACTTTCGAATTCTAAACTAATTTAATAATTTACTTGTATTTTGTATAAAAATAATAATGTATTCTTAATGCTATATATATATATATATATTTTTTTTTTAAACTAATCTTAATGCTATATATTGCGGGAGATATAATGTCAAATCCAGTTAAAATACATTTTTTGTGTGATAATGGAATTCATGAAAGGGACATAACAAAACAAGGCACAACGTAATTATAATTTATTTAAATACAACTTGTGTAATAGTTACTTAGTTTTAAAAATATCTGAGCTATAAGAAGTTAAATAGTTATAAGGTTCCAGTATACAAAACACCTTTTAATCTCTAAATTCCACTACCAAGTTATGGATTAAAGTAATTTTAGTTTTTCATATTTTTTTAATACTAATTAATTATGAATTATAAACTATGAAAA